CAGCAGAGGCTACAGGAGGGCTTCCCTTGCCCCTTTCTGGTGCTGAGCTCTCAGCAGGAGGGATTTTAAGAGGGAGAGCAAGGAAGGCATCTTTCCTCCCTTTGCATTTCTCTGTGGAGACACTTGGGTTCCATGAAGGTAGAGGTTAATCTTAATGAAAGCAAAATTCTGAACTCTAGAGCCTTGTTCACCTTGAGCATGCCGTAGCGCTGTGAATCTGCAGGAATTAAGATGAAGAAAGGCGTCAGGCGTCCGCAGCCCAGCCCTGTGGGTCAGTCCAGCTGGTGGATGCCGGGATCTGCCAGGCTTGGGTGGTGACGGTGTGGGTGCGGGAAGGCAGCCTCAGAGTGGGGAAAAATCTTTGCAAAAAGCAACAAACATGGAAATGTGGAATCTGGGGACCTACAAAGCCATGGGGTAAAAATGTCCAGGCTGTGTTGTTGCTTATAGCCTGTAGTAACCAGGGTGGTGACATCCCGCTGGCGTGTGCCTGCTGCAGCGTGGGGGTCGCTGTGCCAGGCACCGTGGCTCCCCGAGGGACAGCCTGCTGCCGTCCCAGCAGCCTTTTTCTGATGTCATTTCAGCTTCCTTCAGTCAAACCTGGCAGACGGACACCACCCAGCACCCAGTGACCGCCTTGGTGCTGCACTTTTCAGTCTCCTGCCTCTAGCTCAAAGGAAGTGAAACATCTCTGACGAGCAGTTGTAACCACATATTAAAGTACTTCACTAGAGGAGATTTCACTTCACTGAGCCTCGTTTTATGATAATAATCCTGTTTAAATATAAGGAAGAATGAGTCCTTATTTAAAAATGGGATTTGAAGAAATCTTCATGGTTCTTCTCTGATGGGAAATACTAATGTGCACTCCTGTTTGTAAAGGGCTGGAAATGGGCAAAATTAAGGGATTAAAGGGCACATTTTTGGTGCTCCTGGGTGATTAAGGAGCATTAAAGTCATTAAACAGTCAAGCCAGTTCTGCAAGGTGACTCAGCACCCTGTAAAACGTTGCCCAGAGGGACCTGGGGAAGGCCCTCAGCAGCTCAGCGCCAGAGGCAGGATCTGGCCCAGATTTCCTGGCTGCCAGGGACCAACCTCGCTGAACCCAGCTTTCACTGCTTTTGTCAGGCTGTGGCTCCTCAGGGTGAAAAATCAGAGCAAGATAACACAGGAATGACAAGGATGAGCTAATGGCAGCCGAGATAGATGACCAGGGGATGGGGGAAAAGGAGATAAGGTTGCCCGAAGGTAATTAGTTTTTGGGAACTATCGCCTAGCACCCCTTTCTGTACATTAAAGGCTAGGAGGTGGATCTCGACTCTGTGCTCATTGTCTCCAGTGCACCTGGCGTGAACCTATTGCCCGACTGAGGGATAGCAAGACAATTACCTCTCCCTCTGTCTGGGAGGCTGGAGGAGGAGGACAAGTCCCCGGGGGAAGGGGACCTGCCCACCCCGTTGGACACCCAGCGCGCTGTGCTGACCCTGATGGAGACGGGTCCCACAGGACATCCAGTGCCACTTCGCATCTTGTGGCCATCTCCTGCTTGCCCAGGAAGTAGAAGATTTTCACCAGGCGGTTCAGGTTGTCTTTTGCTCTTTCTGTTGCCTTTTTGAGCCACAGAAGCCAAACGTGTTTTCGTCAGTGACTTATTGCCTGCTGTGCTGATCAAAGGGACAAAACCATCTTGGATTGATTTGCCGGGGCGGTGTTTTAACCGTGAGGGTTTAAGGCTATACAAGAGGCGCAGTCTGTGGGGACAGCTGACATTAAATCAGCAGACAGGACTGTCTGCGGGGCTAAGCTTGGGGGTTATGTACCTGGAAGCCTGTCTGTGCTTCTTATTTTTTCCAGCTGTGCTGGAGCAATCTAATAAAGGTACTGCTGTCCCTGCAGCCTGTCATCAAGCTGCTTGCCCACTGCTTTGCCAGAGGCTGATTTGTGCCAAACATGGTCAAACATGCCACCTGGGAGGGGTCTGCTCTGTACATGGCAGGACCGAAAGTATCCACTCCCGTCTGGGGCCTCCCCCCTTTGCCCTGGGGGATTTCCGGGAGGAAAAGTGCTGAGGACAGGGGGGCAGTGAACAAAGGACCCGAATCAGTCCCTGGTCCAGCAGCACTGGGTATAGCACCTTTCCAAGGCAGTGGAGGGGGGTCAGTCTGGGAGAAGCCACAGTCCTGGATCCCCGTCGGGGTGGTGGAAAACGTTTCTTTCCTTCCCAGCAGCATCCCCAGGTAGCACCAGGCCAGGGCTGGGGAGGAGAAGTTAAGGCAGGTGAGAGGCCAAGTCATTCAGCGGCCAAACCTATCTCCATCCTGTGGAGGATTTGCAGGTTGGGCTTTAGCCGGGCTGGGAGCCTCCGTTACACCATGCCTCGACTCTGCTGTCTGCCAGCCCTGTCTGCCCCCGGGAGCGGACACTCCATGGGGAACCGGGATGCTGGGTGCCATGGTGATGGCTGCCATGGCAAGGGCTGCCACCATCCCCGCAACCCTGCAACCCTCGGGGACCAGAGCTGCCTGCATGGCTCTGCAGGTACTTCCTGGGGACATGGGCAGCCAGGTGAGGCCACCGGCCAGGCTTGCCTGGATGTGTGGGGGGCACTGGACTTACTGGTGTAGCTCTTTTAGATTTGCCATAAACTTCTTTTTTTTTTTTTTTTTTTTAAAGACAGAAGGGCTGCTAAGGGGAAGAGGGTACATTGTACCTACACTGGGAAAGAGCAGGGTACCTTCCTGAAAGTGCTACTTTAATTTTGGAACTGGTCTTACTTGGGAAGCAGCTTCTTGCACGGAGAGTTTTTGCACAAGATGATCCAGGATGCCCAGCTCAGCCTGGGAGTGCCCCAGGGTGGAAGCATGGGATGTGGGCTGATCATGTGGAGCTTGCTGGCTCCTTCCGGGTGGAAGCATGGGACGTGGGCTGATCATGTGGAGCTTGCTGGCTCCTTCCTGGTGGAGCATGGAGGAATGGGACGTGGAGAAGCAGATCGCCCTGTCCATCTCCCCTAACCACCCCTCTTCACCCGGCTGTGGAGCCACAGCTGCAGTCCCACGGCTCCAGGTCTGTGTTGCAGGGGAAAGCATCAGCCTCTGGCTGGACCAGAGCAGGGCAGAGCTCTGTGCTCCATCAGCTGCCCCATTTCCAGTTCAAGGAGATAATGAAGAGGCGCAAACGCCAGGTAAGAGCCAGGTTTCACTTGCCCTCCATGCACATTTGCTGGGGGG